CTTCCCATCGTGGCAATTGAGTCTAACTGAAAACCCAAGTTCGAAGTTCGAAGTGTGTGGGAGTTGAGAACCACCATGGCCCCTTCAGCTGTTGAAGTTCAACCGGACACTTCTTGAACTGGGGCCCTCCACCCCTCGCTACCAAGCTGCAACGTCCCCAGCATCAAAGTGGGTGCTCTCCCAATGACCTGCAGGTGAGGTAGGTGAACATTCTGTCTAGTCTCAGGCAGGAGGCGGCTGATCCTACAAACTTGGGTGCTGATCGGGCAGTTTCGCCGCTGTCTGTTTTCAACACCTCTTCCTCAGTGCTGTGTCAGCGGTTTTCCCGGTCCCGGCATTCCGGTGATTAGGGTTTTGCACAAACAGAGCAAGGATTCAAGGATTCAAGGAACATATGTTAAAACACTCGTGCAAGCTTCTCGAGCCACCTACAACGGATGTGCTGCTAGTTCTTCCCCGTCTCCACCTGAAATCCTGGTGAGCCGAACCACTGGGGTCTCTGGGTCGCGGGCATCCGCTGGGCAGCGCCAGGGCAGCGGGATCAGAGGCCAACCATCCGCTCCTTGCGAGTCTCGGGCAGGTTGTGTTCAGCCCCAGAGCCGGTTCCGTCAATGGTGGCAATTTCAGTTTGGAGGCGGGTTTGGTGGGAGGCTGGGTTTTGAGCCCTGTAGGATGATGAGATTGGCGTTTCTCGCCGACGTGCATCCTAAACACCGGCATCGGTGTCGACGGATCTCACCTACAGCCATTCATGAAGCAATTGAAGGAGGTAGGGAGGCACTGGTTGATCCAGCCTGGTTGTTTGGAGGCATTCCTGTGCCTTCAGCCGGAAGCAACCCTATCCAACTCGATCACTTGGAAGCCTCACAACCTTATCGCAATCACCAATGTACTAATGATCAGGGTATATATATATACTGTATATGTATGTGTATGTGCATATGCAACTGCGCATGCATATATGGCAATTATAATATAAGGATGATGTCCACATACATGGTCTACAAAGAATCTTGGAAAGAATGTCAAGTGTGTGTGTGTGTGTGCCCATCCATAGCTTCAGAAGCAAAGACAGAGATGAGAAATCCGAACAAGAGTTCGAAAAACAAGATCGGACTCGGACCCCAGTTTTTAGCCTTGGGGGTCTGTGGGGGCGTTCAGCGGCGGGTGCCCGAAGAAGAATACCAACAACATCTATGGCAGTGCATGGGTGCAGCCTGACACTCGGAACATCTTGGAACCCACGAGTAGCAGACCTTAAAAAAGGGCAATGTTTTGAACCAGCGGCTTTGGCTCCTTGGGCCTTTCAACCACACTCCCAAAATCTGATGAAGACTTGAAGACATGACAAAAGAGAAACAGGGAGGGAACCGCAGGAGATCTCCGAAAGAGTTGGGCGATGAAGATCGCCTCAACAAGCGGAGGCACTGGCACATGGACGGCTAAGTCAGCTTGACCCACACCTTCACAGTAGAAATGACGAGATTTTCTATAGTGTCCTCCACCTCCAGGTCTTTTTGGAAGGTTTCCTCGCCCCACCGTGGTTTGTCAGTGCTCCGGCGTTTTCCCTACTGTGATCTTCACCCCCAGCCCTCAAGAGCCCTGGTGGTGTGTCCCTGTCCTCTCTCCGTCGGACCCCGCGCGGTCGTAATCCTTGAACCTGCGCGGATGCGGGGAAGGAAGGCATGAGTAGTCCTACAGGCCGCATGTTGTCTATCAACTCCGGGATTGCCACTGCCAAAAGGAGTTGGAGTTACACACACCCAATAAATAAATATACATTATATCTCATTACCAGCAGTCACAAAGGGGTGCTTAATGGAGGTTAGGGGTGCCCATTATCCACTCACTTGGGGGCCAAACACCACCCCTTTGTGACTCCTGGTGTACAGTTATACAGATACAGTATAAATACCACTGGGATCCACTGGGACCACCGTTTTGCTTTTTGACCCTTCCACATTGACAACCCTTTACCCTTAGCATCCTGCAACACACTTATGGTACCTCAAGTGGTCAAATTTCCTCCCTCCAAAGCTCTTCAATCTTTCATTTAAAGTGAAAAAAAGATGGTGAATGAGGATGATAGTGATCATTTTGACCGTCCCACAGTGGCCACGCAAGATGGACTTCTTAGATCCACCGTGGCTGGTCTCATAGATGCTGTAAGAACCGGAAAGAATTGCAGTAGCCTGCCCTAAGCCATACCCTTCTATCCTCAGCTGCTGGAAACCTGTTCATAATGGAGGCCATCGCTATTAGGTTGGAGGCCATGGCTAGCCAGACCACCACTAGCGTTGCAACCCAACTCTGCCACTGCTTCGACCGGTGTGGTGCCTCTCGGTGATTTCGGGATCACGATGGGACCCAGGCACCCAACAAAGCGCTCCCAGCTCCTCCTGGCCACACCTGGCCGTGGATCCCAGCTCCGCCACATCCGACCCACCGATTTGGGCGTCCAGTCGAATGTAGACTGTGTAAACCATTCTAACATTCAACAGTCTACAACATGGTCCAATCTCTTGCTGTGGACGTCACAACCTGGTACCGGCACACCGTGAGGAATCATGAACCGCTCGCCAGAACCACACCACGAGGCTGCTGTTCCTCTGGGAGCATGAGCCGCAACAGGTCTTCATGATTGAACTCCAGGTCTTCATGGTGACCTTCTCGCTGGAGAGCGCCAAAACATGGGTTCTCGCATTCAAAACAGGGGGACCTCCATAGCGGCGTTCCAACCCCCTGGACCGCTCGACCAGTAGTGGACTTGACTAGTCAACCCATCAAACATGTGGGTTCTGGTCTGGGCATCTCCCATGCTGTCCCTATTCAAACCCTACACACACATATTGACATCTCGCCTCCTTTGGGGGTCCACCACCAGCCCCAAACCGTCGCACCTCACATCGCCCAACGGTATCCAGGCCGTGAGCCGCGGGCCAGCGCCCACGTAGGCGCGATCCATGTGAGGACCAGTGAAGGCCTCCAGATCAGAGGGATTTCCGGTGAAAGCTGGATGTGGGGAGGCGGGAGGTGTTTTTGAAAAAAGAATCGGGTGCTGTGCCTGAAGCAAGACCATATGATGTGGCAATCAAAAAGCACACGTAGTGGTGGTATGTTCTGGTAGAATCTGCCGCCATGTTGGTGCCGTAAAGTGTCCCAGTATCTGGTATGGCTTGGTGCCTGAAGATATATACCTTGAAATGCCATGTGGGCAATTGGACAAAGACTGGAAAATCAGAGTGGGACTCACTCAAGGATCCTCAAATAAATCAAGCGTGGAGCAGCCCCAATGAAGAGCTTTGGATTGTCTCATGCCTGATCTAGAAATCTGCTGTAAAATCTATACTAAGAGTATCCCTGCCTATAATTATATATATGTCGATCACCATGGCCCATAGCAGTGCATCTACGGTCCCGGTCCCGGCCCGTTGTGATTCACAAGACAGATCGAAGCTCCCCCCCATGTGCGCGCGCTCGGCGCGCCTTGGGAGGAACCGCCCGAAGCCACTTGTAGCAGGTGGTGACCACTTCGTCCGTTTGCAGAAGTCCTGGGTGCACTTCGTTCCGGTGCCGGACAGCCTCCCAAAGAGGAGCAGTGAAATCAGCAGGAATTGCGAGTGGACGTGACTGTGCTTCGCGTTTATCTATGTGGTTTCATCATGTCATGTCATGTCATTGGACATCCCAGACATAGCATAGGCTGCGTCCGACTTAGATCCCCTCCTCATGATATACAAACTGCGCGGCTCATCGGCCACATCGATCATGGGGCCCCAGAGATGTGGCCGAGAAAAGCGGCCGTAAAGATCAAAAACACATCTTTCAACAGAGCCCGTGTGACGAACCGATGACGTTGACATGTAGACTCTTGATTCATACACCCCCCCGATTTGAATTGAACACCCTCTTCAAAGGGGAGGTTGATTCATCTAAGAGTCTACATTAACAGTTCTGGCGAAACAGTATGTGAGTGTGTGAACTTGAGCGGTAGAGCAATCGAATCCAGTCCGGACGGACCAGGACTCGAGTCCGACATCTCTGGACCCCGTGGTATGCCACGGTCTGCAGAACAACTGGAAGCTTCTTGGAGAACTGACTCCCCTCAGGCCAGCCCCAGGGCTCCAAACACCCGCTTTCGGATGGCAGTGTCCGGCCACATGAGGCAACGACCTTGCTACCTAGCTACCCTGGGAGCCCCTGCCAAGCCCCCCCAACTTCACCAGGGAAATGCGCTCCAACGGATAGAGATCGAAGAGGGGCGGTCATGTTCTTCATATCCGTCAATACCCGGACCCGCGGGGGCGACCAGGTCGACCATAGACTTCCGAATCCAACCCCAGCGGCGTGGAGGTCCAGCCGTCGCACCCATTTTCAGCGCAGCTTCGCAGCTGAGAACACAGCGGTGGTGCCTTGTGGTGCACTGTCGTTCGTTCAGCTGTCACAACTGCGGGTAGCCCTGGGCAAAGCTCCGGGCACAAGAAGTCCTCGACGTCCGGTCGCATCCTGTAGCACGAAGAAGCATAGAACTTTGGAGAAAGATTGAAGAAACCTCCAGTTGCTTTCAATCATTGTGTGGTGTACCCATGCCGTACAGAAGGCGCACGCACCTGCGAGATGCATCTGTGAACCTCTGGCCTCGCAGCAGAAGATCTTGAACCGTCACCTCTAAGCGTGACCAAGTGATTCCTGCCAAAGAACCAATCACTGCACCTGCCACAAGCTGTTGGAGAGAATGTGCTCCAAACGCATATCGAACAGAGATCAAAGTGCTTCCCCAAGTCAGCAAGAACAACCATTCCAGGAGTTTCTGAGAAGTTGAGCCCCAGTCATGTTCTATCCGATGCCCCAGGTGTACAGTCAGAAAGAACACAAAGGCGGCATGCTCTGACGGCATGCCGAAGAGACCCTCGCTGTCAAGGACAAACGCTGGGGTGGCTGGGCGGGGCTGTTGGATGAGTTTCTTCAGCCACAGGCAAAAAGTGTCAAGAATGACTGCTCCCAAAAGAGTCCATGCCCACCGGATTTGTCAGGTACACACCAGGGCACCAATCAATGCTAAACCGGCAGGAATTGAAGTGGCCAAGAAAAAGAGCACGTTCATGCACCTTCGGCATGAACGGGGCCCAGAAGAGGCCTGAGGCACGTCGAAGTATGGGTCCTTTGAGCCGAGGTGGAGCCCATCCCAACACCCAGGCACTGCGGGTCTGCGCGGTTGGTCCGCTGCTTTTCGGTTGGAACTTCTACGATCCATGCCGTTTGCTGCCGTTTGCTTCTGTTGAAGCCCAGTGCGTCACAAGTCATGATATGTCATGATCCATGTTTGGGTGGGTCCTGCTCATCCTTTCCCAGCATGGCCACGCTGTGTTTGTTTTCAACATGATTTGCACTGGATGCTCCTAGCATCTCCTAGTATACCGGTTGATTTGAACACCACATGGTTTGGTGGGTGCGTGTCTCTGTGTCTCCAAAATTCCTCATCTTTCCTCCACCAGGTCAAGTCCATACCTGCAACCTCGTGGTTGCCGTTTTTTGGTCGGTGGTTCAACGTACCTTTATTTGTCTGTGAACCACATAAACATCCGCAACCGAAATAAACATCCGCTTTAAAAAATGTTCGGGAAAAAGCCGCCTTTGGCCCAATAAACGCCCTTAGCTTTTGTATGCGTGTGTATAAACGCCCATGGAATATCAGAAAAATATGAAAAAATATCAGAAAACATCCGCAGACTCAAATTTAAGTCTGTGACTCCAACAGATGTTTTTCACGCCGCAGATCGGAAAAAAAGCACTCTGAGGAAGTTCCAGGTATGAAATAAGTGCACCTCACTGTGGGAAAAAGAAGAAAACCCCGTCAATGGGTGATCGGGCTTTTTGGGGGGATGAGATTGACCATTGCAACTTTGAAGATCATGCAGGAACCATAGAGGGTGAAGACTGTGAACGGTCACTCTCAGGATTCTCATCAACTCCCGACACTGGTGACCGGCAAGAACAAAGAGGAAATGGATTCTGACCTCCTCCCCCTTGGCATTCCCAAGCCAGCCCATCCCCGGTTCACAGGCAATTCGAGCCGCGCGCGGTTGCATCAAAAAGCGCCGCGTGCTCCAAGACTGCTTGGACCTGACAACAAAGGCTGACACTCAATCATCGGGTGTTCTACCACGAATCTCGTCAAATCATCTTCCGGAATTGGCACCGAACAATGGAAAAAGTATCTTACAAGTCGTGGTGACGCATGGATGTAGGTGGGCAAACTGAGCCACCAAAGGACCACAGGGTGAACCTGTGTTTGCAGATCGGCTAGTCCATAGGGTCACGGTGACTCACTTCTGAGTGCGAAGCATTCTGACCATTTCTGACCTACCTCTTCATGTTCATCTGCCTGGCCAACTTATATATACTAAATTACAAATACAAAGACCATCAAAGACCCATTCACCACCCTGAAAAACACATCCCACCCAACACCCTTGTGGCCAAACAATGCCAGCCACAAGATCTTTCCGGCGAGCTTGCGTCATTTCCAAGGGATGTCAGTTCGCTTCATGTCCGCTTGCCATCGCCTCATGTCCCATCGCACCACATGTCCCTTCAATCGCTCCCCTGTCCCTTGCTCCCCTCGATCGCCAACGTCACCGTCACGTGGCACCCGACGCAGATCCGCGTCGCGGCACGGATCGCGGAGGTCTCGAAGACACGCCTCCGGAAGAGCCTGAAGATCCAAGCGACGAAGGAGCGAAGGCATGGGCACCTGGGATGTCTGAGGCCTGTGCACCCAGAACACCACCCACCGCGAACACAGGTGATGGTCCGGCAGCGGTCCATCGGTGCAAATCGCTGGAAAAATGGTGCGGATCCTATTGAGTACTGTTGCCTTTGTGGTGTTTAAACGTTTTTGCTCGATTTTGGATGTATCTTTAATTTGAGCACATTGCAGGTTGTGCTCAGTCACAGCTTCAGAGATTCACGTTCTCAACGGTCAATTGGGCCCACCCACCCGGCCCACGGCACTCGACCCCGCGTGCATCCGACCTCGCCCTCTGCGCATTCTGGGGACAGCTCTGCACCAGCTCCGACCGCTTTGAGCTGCTTCAACTCAGTCAAAAGCCTGGCGATGTCCACTCACTGGCGACGCATCGAAGGAATGAACCGGCAGGCCGCTGCAGGGCCGCAGACGGCGACGCAACATGACCTGCCCCTTTTCGACATCGACATCGATTTCGGACGAGCTTAGTAAGGCTTAGTAGAGAAGGGCCCCAACTGAGGAGCTGAAGACCTACACGGTTTTTCCTCCACACGACAGGGTGACCCAAGCAGGCCAGTTGACCGCTTTGATCATCTTTGATCATCTTTGATCTCATTTACAGCTGCTATACTTGACGTCATGCCTCGGACGTTAACATATTCTATTACATATTCTATATGAAGTTGTTTAATCTGGGGTGAGTGTGGGACACCGCACCCAATGGCTTGTGTGGTCACCTTGTCCGCGCGCAAGCCACAGCATCTTTGGGCAGAAGCCCTCGCAGCAGGACCAAACCCTGCTTCTCCAGCACGCGCCGTGCATGGGACCAGGGCTTCGCAACGCCTTTCGGCACCTGCGGCGATCTCGGCAGTGATGGCAAGCCACACGAGCCACACAAAAGAAAGTAATTATTAAGGAAAACAAGCAGGTTACTGTTTGACTGTTTTTGCACTTGTTTTTGTACGATTGTTGGCCCATGAGGAAAAACAAGTGTAAGGTGGTGGAGGGCCGTGATGGCCGGTGCTACAAAATTTGAAGGCTGTCTACTGATTCTACTGTACCAAACGCAAGTCACGTCGAGAGTTCACTGCATCAAAACCAGTGTACCAAACGCAAGTCACGTCGAGAGTTCCC